TTAGTGATTACTAGTGGTCACCATTTAAGAAGAAAGTTGAGGAATAAACTTATAAAACTAACAAACAAATGAAGTTTGCACCTTAATGATCTTGTCTCTTGCCCCACTACCTGGCAGTACTAACTGCCCCCATGGATTTCTATAGTACTCTTTGTTTACTTGTATTATACCCATACCACTTACTTTTAAAAGACGCTGAGGACAAAACTTCTCCATTTTTAAATTCCTGGAAATTACCATATAACTAATCTAATCAAAATTTTGTTGACTGAATGGGAGAGCAAATAAGTATGATAATTCTAAATTTTTAAATACAACATGACTTAAAAAGACAGGAATGGGTCAATTAAGGTTATTTTTTTTTAAATAAAATATCCTACTTTCCAAAGATATAGTCAAAAAGTCACCTCATTGTGTATTTCAATGGCTGAATATAAAAAAGGAAGCTGTATAAAATTATTTATTATTTAAAATTGTAATTGTGTACATTTCAAATGAAGTCAAATGATGTTTACGTTGCTTGGTATATTTAGATAACTTAGAAACATTTTCCTTGTTTTTTAATTCCTTAGATATCAAGGAAAGTAGACATTCAAATAACCTTTTTCTCTTTCCTGTTAAGCAACAAATGAAGCAAATAATTGGAGGTTAGTAGCTGTCTAAGGAGATTAAACAATTGCTTAGCTGAGCCTAAAAAGTACAACTTTGTTAGGACATAAAGATTCTGAGAAAACTTTTTCCACAAATTAATGTTTTAGCTTCTCATTATATATTGGTTCTCTTTTTAAGTTTCTTAAAGCAGTGATTTCTGTACTTTTTTTCTAGATATAATGCATTATTTTATAAGAAAATTGTGTAAGTCAATACTGAAATCTGAGACAATCTTCCTAATCAAATTTAAATACAGACCATACAGTTTAACCAACAGGGAATGCTGGGTTCAATTTATCAACCCCATACATCTATGAGTTTAATAACACAGCAATGGTTTTTTCAGTCCTATTTAATTTAAGAGTCACTAATAAGGTTTCTAAAGGTTTCTGGATTAAAAACAAGGTAAAGGCTTAGGAACTTAATTTGCTATTAGTCTTAAAGAATCTAATTTGTTTTCAGATTTCATCTCATACACAAATGCATTGTGTAATCAAGGCAATGTTTGATATTAAGAGGTGAGATATTTTGTACTAGATAACCTAGGTATTTCATGGATAGAAGAAATCATTTACATGTATAGGCTAAAAATAGAAATATTGCCTAAAATAATAAGACTTTAAAATCACAAAATATTTAACATAAATCAATAATCCTTTGAATAAAATTTGGCCTTCTAGTAAAAGACATGAACTACAGTTATTAGGACAGAAATCCATGTATTTAAAAATGTATATTGCTTAGGCCAATGCCTGACTCAGTTTATTTAAACCATCTAAGTTATGTTTACTACGTTCAAAAGCTCGTTGATTTAGGATTCTGAAATAGTTTGGGAGAAGAAAAAGGCTACATGCATGTAATATAAAATCTTAATTAAAATAATAAACAGTTCAGTATTCAAGAGTGATTTTGATTTCTTTCTCCAAAGGTGATTTTTAAAAGTTAGTATCTGATTGTGTCCTAAGATAATATCGATATTTAAATGTCAATGCCTGGTAAAGGAGAAATTTAAATTTTCTGAGATAATATAAAAATATACCTATTTCCATTAATGTCTTTGTTTCCTGTTATTAAAAAGGAATTTTTTTTTAAAAGAACTACATCGATTGTATTGTATCTAGAATACTTTTGCCTTATCATCCTAAACTTTTGTTTGTAAGTAAATCTTCAAAAGCAATGTTGCTTGCTGGGACCATTTTGCATGTAGAGATGTTTTATGCAATAGTTCAGTGCAGAGGTTATAGTTGTGAAAAAAAAGAGGTGTGTGTCTACATGCTCCTTCTCTTCTTACACTCCATCTACAAACCACACCATCTTACTCACATTGGCAGAATAGCGCAAAGTCATTACTCTTTATTGAGACATCCCTGAAACGTACATCAAAGTTTTCTCTCCCATGGAAAGAGTAAAATTACCAATTAGAATATGGCATCATGAAAAGCACCCTAGAAAAAAACACTTATTTCTAAATATAAAAGACAATCCTAAGAACAAAGGAGTCCAGAAAAGAATGTATACAGTAGCAGGTAAAGAGTTAGCTTCAAAAATTGAGTAAGGGAAATATCTGTTTGTTTTCTGCACCATGATTTATTACACCAGAAATATGTTTTCTTTCTCTAGTGGATAGCATGCCTCTTACAAAACCTGGAAAGAAGAGTATTACTATCAGACTTACTGATCCAATCAAGAAGGCTTGAAATGAACACTTGAAGTGGAAGAGAAAAATGTGAATCAATAACACAGACCTTACAGAAGACAATAGGTTTGAAATGAAAATGAGACATAATAATAATAAAAAAAGGTCTAGAAATTGTTTTGTAAAAACCACGACTTGAAATAATGCATAGGCTTAGAATATAGGGTATACTAAATAAAACTCAAATAATAAAAATATTAGACATGCTCAGCTCATGAAATGTACTCTTTTAAAAAATCTGTATACAACACTGACAGCTGAGTATAAGAATTGCCATAACTGTTTGTGCAAGGAGTGCCCTGCACAAGAGTACCTGGCCTGTGGAACAAGTGGGGGACATAATCTACTTCATACTCCAATTGCCTGACAGGTATAATCTTCAATTTACAGGATAAAAACCCAGGCTTAGATATGTTCAGAAATATGCTCAAGGTTATGTAGCTATAAAAATATGATGCTATTTTGGCTAGAATTGGAAGCCAAGTGTGTCTGGAATTCATTATTTTTAAAAAACATAGAAAAGGGAAATTTATATATACATATGGAAACATATATAATTTATTCTAAAGGAGAGGAGTAGGAGAAAATTCACTAATTTTTCAAAAGGAACAATATAATGACTGAGAAATATGTATCACTGCATATCAGGGAGTTATAACACCAGTTTTATGATAAAAATATTAAAAATTGAATTTGGAGATATTCATGTCAGGAAAGGAAAATAAAAGAAGAATTTGTCACTGGAAAATGGTGCAGCAATCCTAACAAAAATATTACAGAGGATAGTTTGCAAATAAGTACAAGATATGGATGAGAAAGAGAAGGCTTAAATAATGGGATCTCTTTTGGGAGGAATTCTAACTTACTAAAATTTGGCTTATAGGTAAGGATTTGATTTGCATCCACAACACAGATACTGTGTGGAAACAAAGTTTTTGAGGTGCATACGAGTAAAGGAAGAGGATGATGAGAAGGGTTGGGTAAATTCTATGAATTTAAAACACACAGCTAGTAATGGGAAGTTACCCAGAGACACCAAGAAAACACAACTGAGGAAGAAAGTAAGAAACTAAAGATACAATTATGACTTTATCTTTGCAAATAAACCTATAACCAGAAAATAGCACAATAATAACCTAAAGAAAACAATTTTACAAATGAAAATTTAGTCATAGATTCTTACATTTTTACAAAGAATGTATAACAAAAAAGTGAATGTGAATGATTAAACAATGTAGTAAGGAGTTTTAAAAAGTGTATGAAGTGTGTAAAGTCAAGAATCCTTATAGATACTCCAAATATGAAAGGTTATAAAATACTAGCTGTGTTAAGAAAAAAAGAAATAAGCCCACAAACTGAGGGAGAAAGAACTGCTATTTGTTTTGTTGCTGCTATTGTTTGTATCTTCTCTGTTAAAGAAAATTAGCAAATTAGAATGAGTAGAACAATGTTCATATAGATTTCGGTTTTGCTCAGATTTACCTACAGACCTTTTTCAATGAGGGATAACCAGAGAAACATCGAGAATGATCCACTATGGTCTGCTGTATCGGTAGCCTGTGTGCACTTAGAGAAGATTCCAGTAATTATCAAAGGCCAGGATGTGTTCACTAGGAAAAGCTCTTTCACTTTTTTGAGAATCTTAAACAGGCTGAATAAGAATATGCAATTTACAATGTATCTTAATGTGAGTAATGTATTATACAAGTGATTTTATTGTAACCTTGTGAGCAAGATAAAAAAAACAATGGTTTTATGATAGAATAGCTGAATGAATCATTGGAGGTTGATCAGTCTTACTCTATGACAATTTTATCCTTTCTACCATCCCAACTCAAAAGATTATTCTGTGATTTAGTTAAGGAAGTGGAACATATACTTTGCCAATCCAGGGATAATACAAGGTTTTGGGAGAGAGCTAATAGATTACGTGATGATCAAATAAATCCTCAAAAATGTTTTGTTATGCTGAAATTCATCCAGATAATATGCTAACAAGAAACAATGTAAAGACCTACATTTAAATTTCAAAAATATCATTTATACGAAGGATACGTGAATTTAACATTTTAACCCTTTGAAAAAGATACAATTTTTTCCACATAACCCTTGATTTTCAGCTTCCTTAAGAAACTATCATACTTTAATTTCTTTTCATTTTACAAAAATATTTCTATTTCTCAGATATATTAAATTAGCTTATGCAACATTCTGTATATATCTTGAACTCCTAAAGTAAAAATATGTACGACTTCTGGCTTCTTAGGAAACAAGACAAATGCTTATGCAGTACAGGTGAGTGTGAGCACATCTGAAGTAAGTTCCTTTCATGAAGTTATACCATGTAATTTATCTCACATATCTAGTGATGAAGGATTTTAGAAGGCTCAAAGGCTGTCACTTTAATATGTCTGCTATCATAGTGAAAAATGTGTAATTTCAAAGATTTTTAGGTAATTTGGAACAATTTGTGTAGAGTAATATACATATGGTGAAAACATATATATATGTGTGTGTATAGATACACACACACACACAAACACATACACATAAAATATATTTTGGAATCCATGCAAAACTATTAGAAAAATGGTAACAACAAGATCTTCACAGAGGACCACAAAGTAAAAAGGACATCGATTAGATTTCTCACCTGTCTGATACCCAACCGGTATGCAACAATCCGATCCACTGCATCAGGATTCATCTGTGTCCACTGTAGACTGTAAGAATAAACACGGTGCCTGTTCTGCCATACTGGATTGTAGGTATCGTAATAGAATTCTGGAGCATAGGCCTTTCCTGAAAACAGAAGTGTGTTTAAATTTGAATGATGACATATTGTAGTGTAAGCATACTTATTCCCTTTGGCCCTTTTACCATTTCTACTCTACCTTCCACTAGTAAAAATCCAGTCAATTCTCTGGATACATTTTGAGAACAATGTGAGATTTCCTGGTTGATTGGATGAGCAGGGTGAGAAGAGAAGGATGAACACAAAGTGTTTGGTCTAAGTGATTGGAGGAATGGGATTTTCATCAACCAAAATGGAAATCTATGGGAGGATGAAATCTGGAGAAAGAAGATCAAAGTCATTTTTAAATAATTTGAGTGATCTAAACGGATACATCAGGTATGCAGTAGGATATAACTAGTCTGGAATATAAGAGAGATCAGAACTGGAGATATAATCTTGCTAACCGTAGGCATGCAGATAGAATTTAAATTTAAAGCCATGATACCGAAGGAGTGTGAGTAGATAGAGAAGGTGAAAGTCTGACACTGGGGCAATCCAAGGTTGAGAGTTATGGGAGGAGATAAAAATCACACAGAAGCCCAAGAGGGAACAACCATAAATTTGGGGAAAACTAAAAATGTGGTATCCTAGAGGTCAAAAGAGGTATTTTGGGAAGTGAGTGATTCACTGTGTAGAAAACAATTAGCAGAAATGAAAATTTGTGTTTGTATTACCTGTGGCTTTCATCAATAAAGTGAACTTAATACAACTTAAAACAATTACTTAATAAAAGATCTAGTCAATATTTAGCTTATATTTAGATTTTTAAAGAAATATGAATTACATATAGCGTATATAGCACATAAAAAACATCTGTTTTTCTTAATTGCCAAAATGAAAAGTTTATACACCATTTGGAATTATAGATCCAACTTCCCAATATTCTGAAGTATAATTTTTTCTATTACAAATAACATATTTATTTAATAATACAACAATATTTAATGACAATCTATTCAATGAAAAATATTGTCCTAGATATTAAGAACACAATGAATGAGGAGGTGTGGCCTCCTCATTCATGGAAATTAATTACATTTTTTCCAGACTTTTCATGTAGCTTTGCAATTCTTAATAAGTGGAAAAGCTGCATTTCTGTCATCACTCATTTAACATCTTTTCTTTTTTTCTTTCTTTCTTTTTTTTTCCCTTTAATTAGATTAGGCCAGCTGTAGGGCTCATGCCTGTAATCCCAACACTTTGGGCAGCAGAGGTGCTCGGATCTCTTGAGCCCGGTTGTTAAAGACCCACCAATCTGAGCAACGAAGCGAAATCATGCCTCTACCAGGAAAAAAAAAAAAAAAAAAGCAAAGTCCCAAATGAGAGGAAAACAACATACTGAGTGAAGGAGTCAATTAGCAAAACATTCTTGGTAATTTGTGTTTGAAACAAAATTTTTCAAAATGAAATAAAAGTGGTGAATTTAGTAGTAGCTGAGTCAGATAGCTAGAGGTTTTAATTAAAAATACACATTCAATACCTACAAATTTACTAAAGAAGTAATGAGCTGCTTAGATGAGTAACATAAACCTAGAGTGTTTTCATTACAGACTGGTATCTAGATTGAATTGGGGAGGTAAAAGTCTAGTGTTTCTTTTCTATGAAGACTGAGGGGTTGCTTTTGTTATTTAATCAAGAAAGAAGCCTAAGGGTGACTGATTCAGTTCTAGGTAGCCCATTCTTAATAAAGTAAACAATTCATTCAAAGAGAATTAAGAAGAGAATACTGGCACAACTAGGGATTATTTAGCATGGGAAAAAAGCGGGGGTGGGGGGTGGGAGAATAGAGTTTTCTAGGAGTTGAAATAGATCACAGATAAAATCAGAATAAACGTTAACAGATATATGAAATAAGATGAATACCAGTGATTTCCTATTAAAATGGGTACATACTTTGACTTAGAAATGTTCTACCAATGACTTTTAAATATGGAATGGCCTACCTCAGTAGACTATAAATTTCCCTTTACTTGAGGTATTTAGTCAACACTTAAACAGCCATTTAGCAGGGCTGAGGTGGGTAGCTGCCCACAAGATGGTCATTTAAAATAACTTTCAGTCCTGAAACTGAACTGTAGGCTGCTATAAAACATTGCCTGTCAAACTGGATTTGATGTGTTAACTAATTTTAGACTAAATATGGTTTAAATACAGAGGAACTGGCACTTCAAAATTATCTCATAACATTAAAAAAAAAAGTTCTCTTGAAAGGCTAGGTATTTATTGTAAAGAAAACTATCTTTCCAAATATAGTATTCATAAGGATGAATTCACCTCTAAGGTGGTGACCAGGAATTCAGACATTCTCAAATACCCTGGGTTATTCTGATGGAAGGAAATACAGGTCTTACAATTTGGAATGCTTTAAACAGGCTGAAATTTCTCTCTGAAATTACCTCCAAGTCTATATAATAAAAGATGTAAAAACTTATCCTAAAGTCATAAGAAACATCTCTTTGGTCTTCTTCCTCCTCTGAGACTGGATGCCTGATCCGACAGCCAGGATCTCTCTGGGGCAAGACTGAGAGACATCAGATAATGGGGATGGGGTGAAGTAGAATAGAATAATAACCGGAAATATTGGAAGCATTTCAGGAAGTAGCTATCCTAGTATAGTTGACTTTTGTTGACTACCACGAGGATAACTGGCTGCATGCCATGAATACAAATTGCCATTGTTCTAGGAACATTATTTATCTAAATGAACACTTTTGAGGTTACTGAAATAGTTTTACCCTGAAGTTAAAAAACAGATCCTCATGATCTTGTGAGTAATATGAATTTGTTTATCAAGATCCATTTTCAAGGTAGTAAAAAATTAAGCTCCAATCTAACCCACTAAAATATTACAAATAGATCCAATTTCACTATAAAATGTTATCTTTATATTTAATTGCAGGCTATTACAAAGGTTTTCCAATGTATTTTTAAAAATGCTTTATCTGCTTTGGCTAAACCACAGGTAATATTTTTTCATGGATCATTAGATTAGAAAATACTTTAGAGACTATTTCAATATCTCATATTATATATAAATAAATAAAGGTGCAGAATGGAGATGGGGATAACATATGAAAGGTTATACAAATAAATAATCAAATACAATACGTTCTATTACTTTTTTTACTTAGAATCATGAGATTAAAAAACAAATTAGTGAAAGTTTTTTTTAGTTGAATAATCATATTACTTGGAATTAAAGGTAAAAAACATTTTTAGATGGTGCATAAATAGTAATGTTTAGTAATAAGTAATTGCTAATCAGAAATAATTTTCAGTTATCACGATTAAATAAAGACGTGCTTACTTACGCCTTATGGCATACTTTCTACTGAACCTACCAAGGAAAAGCTTTAAAAAGGAAAAATGCTTCTTGATTTTATTGGAAAAGGGCATCTTAAATTTTTTGAAATGGGACACACTTAATTTTCTCCTCTAATTTCAGAGCCAATTATACTTTATGCTTATATACTGATTTGTAAAAAAGACACAGTAAAACTAAGGAAATAGCCTTATAATAATCTTGGGCTTTGACATCCAAACATGACATCTACTGGTTGAAACGGGAAAGAATTTGTAAATATTTTTTTCCATTTTATACCTCAGGCGTTTTAATTCTTCCAGTAAGCATACCAAGAACATTTTCTTACTCTTTCACATTCTAGTTTTATTCTTATACAATGTTGTTTCAATCTAAATATTTTCAGATTAACTGACGTAGAACTATATTCATTAACTGAACTGGGAGGTAATTTTTGGAATCATCATGTATGATTATATATAAATCTTGGATTTAAAAAATATCCCTAAAATATCTACATAGAAAAAATTTGTTTTTGAAAATATTCTATAGATTTATATAGAAATACTGGTATTTCGCAAAATGGTTTTGAAAAATAATTACATTGAGATTACAAAATGTAATTTTATGCATAAAGTTCAAACATAAATTAAGAACAATTATTATTCCCACTATGAACACTTAAAATGTGCTTGGATAAAGGAACTGATTTTAGTAAAGTCAATCGAGTTTTTGAAATAAAAACAAAAAAATATATAATAGTGATCAAGACCAAACATATCTTGCTTTTGAAAATAATTCACATTTTGGAAAACAGACTGTAGGAAGATAAACTTAAAAGAACTACACAGGTTTATAGGACATGTGTGCAAATTTAGGGATCTCTATTAATTTTTCACTTTGTAAAAGAGACAATATGTAGCTAATATATATTGCTTTCCTACAAGGTGCTGAGAAAATCTAGATAAATAAAATGAGCCCACTTTATCATCAAATTGCACAATCTCAGGGGGGAAAAAAAAAAAAAACTCATACAAACAACAAATTCTGATATAGTTGTTGGCATAATTGACTCAAAACAAGAACAAATTTATATCTCTCATCTAGAAATGCTAGATGAAATTATGCCAAACATGTTTTTAGATGTATGTTTGCAAGCAAGAAAAAGAAGTCTCTAGGGATCAAAAAACACTACTGAAAACAAGACATTTAATAAGAGTTATGGGAGATAAATAGAGTGCTGTTGGTCTTTTTTACCATTGGGAGATGGATTTTCAGGCCCATGGGAGATAAGGTTAACAGACTACTGCAAGAAGAGAAGTTGGTAATGAGGCCACCACCTATGAATAACATCTAGAAAAATTATAGTTTCAGACGTAGGATATACTAGAAAACATTTGACTCTCAGCAGTATAGGAAGATGACAAAAACATTTATGTTACCATAAAATTTTTTTGACTAGTGATACTGCTGGAGTGCTTGAAAAGAGCTAATGCCAAAATGATCTTGAAAGACATGTTGTCAATTTAAGGTGCAGATAATTCCTTTAAATCCCAATGATTATAAATTCACAAACATTTTGAATACACAAATACACAAGAAAACATTCCACTGTGAGAGATTAACAAGGTAAATAAATAGCAAGATTAGATATCAGATAAGAGAAAAATAAAATAGAATTTAGGCTGGGTACAGTGGCTCACT